ATCTTCTGGTGATCTTGGCGTGAAATAATGGGTTCCGGTGAAACTCAACTATTTACGAGATGTTGCCGCTGTTTATTAGGATCAATACCACCTTCATGGTGGTACCTGGCACGCTGTTAACTTGCATCTTCCTTTTTGACCTTCACGTATAATCTGCTTTAGCGCATAGACAATAATTCTTTGCTTGGAAAGGTGAAATGAGATACTTAAAGGAAAGTGCCTTTATAACCGGGGCCCGTCTCCGTTTGTATTACCCCTCAACATTACAATAGACCGAAAGTAGGACCCTATGATTGGCTGTCCTTGCGATGTCAAGTGCTCAATAATAAGAACGTTTATACGTTAATTTGAAATATTTTAATTATGTCAACAAATAGTTGGTTGACTGCACAACTGACCGCCTAGAACTCTGGTATTTTATATTTATTTCCGTTTCATCCCTCTTTCTATCCTTGACAAAGACCCGGACATAGGGAAGGAACAACGAGAGAAAGCCTTTTATAAGAGTAAAAAAACCTTTTATCCAGTCCGAAATCCGCTATCCAAGCATTCTTAATTATTGCTTTATGTTACCTTTTGTCAATTTCGTATAACATTAAAAATATTTGCCTATTGAAAAACTTTTAAATGTCCAGTTATACTTAATAGGTATATGTGGACTAGGCCTGGGTAACGCAGTGAATTTTTAGGAATTGGCGCAGTGCCACGCAAATGGCTTGGTGCGCCAACCCAACGCACCGGCGGAATAACTCAGTTCCGTTGCTGGGATAATGTTGATGACCTTTTTTACTTGTTTTTAGATTTATTTTATTTATTAATAATATTTTTAAAATTTCCTCAAAATTTCAGAATTATTCAGTTTTAGCCAAGTTACTACATGCTCAATTTTCTTAAATTCCGTGAAAAATTATGAAATAAATTTCGAATCCTTCGGCGCTTTGTAAAAAGTTTTGAAGTCTGCCAGCGTCAAATTTGGTACAAAAATCAAATAATTTTTTATCAAAAAACGAACAGAATAAACGAAAGTTTATGACGTATTATCTGGAAATCTCGTCACCTTCATTCGTCTGAAGACTGTAGAGTTTGTTTTAAAAAAATGAGGTTTTTTTTACGCGAAAAATTACAAGATGAATTTAGAGCTTTGTAAAGATTTCACGAAAGTTTTTTTCAGCCTCAAATTCGGGACAATTTTATTCAGTTTTTTACCGAAAGTAATTAGGACTATCTTGGAAAACGACCAGTGCAAAAGTACACAAAAAGTTATTTGGAAAATTCGCCGCGCTCATCGCTGTGAAGATTTTTAAACTTTCTTTAAATTTTCAGGTCATTTCAGTTTTAACAAAGTTTCTATTAAGCAATTGTTTTTACTGAAAAATCGCATTATTTTTTAGTTTTACTTAAAATACTGACAATCTTCAGGTATTTTCTGTGAAAAATTATAAGATACATTTTATTGGAAGACTCGCATCCTTAACCGTTTTGCAAAAATGTAAGGAAACTTTTCGCAGCTTTGAATTATGGACGAAACACTAGTAATTAATTCTGGGTATTTTTCCAAAAATAATTTCCCGAACTGAAAAAGCGAATGTGAAAGTTTATAATCATTTATATGGAAAACTGGCGTTTCTTCACTTTTAGGTCTATATTTCTAAACAACACCGTCTCTTAACAGAATAATCGCGTTTTTCCTCACGTTTTATTGTAAAATATTGGCAAACTGAATCTTTTATGTAAAAAATTGAGATCGATTTTGCAAGTAAACTCGTCGACTATCTTTGGACTCAGTTCTATTGCTGGGAAAATCTTGATTACTTTTTTTTAGTTCTTTGAAAAAAGTAGTAAAACGTTACTCAGGAAAAATTTTGATGACCTTTTTTTTAAATGTGAAAATTCCCGTCTCGGGTCTCGTAAAGCTTTAATAAATGAATTATAACTCGTTAACTCAGAGATTAATTTGGAAATAAATTGGCATGCTACCGACTGCGCCAATTTTATTGATTAAGTTGAAAGTTTGCTTTTTAAAAACAATTTGTTTCCAAATTAATACAAACAATAAATTTTTGTTGTAACCGAACCTTAACTATGACTTATGACTCGTATGTCTTAAGACTGTCTTTAGACTAACTAAGACTGATTGTAAACTATCTGAGACTCAATTCTTATGACTGACCAGATTTCTAATGACTAAATGCTCGTGTCTGCTGTGTCTTTGTTTATAGTTAAATAATGCTGATCATGGCAGAAACGGTACTACGTCTTATTTTATAATAATAGTCGACATAAGTGACCATATAATTCTACTAAAATTGACTAATGTTAATCACATTTCTTCCTCCATATCTCGACGTGGAAACTATTCGTTCAAAAATGGAGAACGAGAATACTTTCAAAATATTGTAAATAATTAATCGAACTAATTTGATTAATTGAAAAATTCGAACTATTTAATTCGACTTTTTCCATCACATCGTCATTTAAATTTGTTTACAGTTATCAAATAATTGGTTACAGAAAATATCAACTGTTATTTACGGCAAATCTAGTTTCTATATGCCAAAATTAAAAACCCAATTTATTATTTATAGCCAATAACCAAATAGTACATTTTTGGTTAATATGTATTTTTTTTTAAATAAAATTAGTTTGGAAATATTGTCTGGGCAAAACACTGTGACAAACAGTAATAACATAAAAAGAACATTTAGCATGTACATTTTTTTTGACCTTAAAGACTGTATAACTTTCAAGTGTCACAAACTCTAGTTAGAAAGTAATATACACAGGAAACTGTTTAATAGACAACAAGTGTATTTTTTAAATGTTTTTATCTTCAAATAAGTGCACATCATTAATCTACGAGAGGCGGATGAAGAGAGAAAATTACTGCAAATTAGCAGTAGGTAGTCAATCTCAAAATCTCGCATTAAGTAAGTTAAGTTTTTTTGAAGGAATATCACCATTTTCAGTTGCTCTGAACAGTCACATTTGTTACTTCAATTTTGTTCCTACAGCACATTGAGTTGAATTACAAGAAAAACTAGTCCCCATCGACCTTTATTTTAAATAGACTTGACGGTTAGAGTGACCTTAAAACAATTCATTAAATTGGCACTTTTTTCAAAATAGGCTATTTCCATTGTCTCAACAGAAACAACAAGTAAGCGGTCATAAATCTCTTCGCAAATCCTAAGCAGAAAATTATTGTTTTCCAGATCTATTTCGGTCACTAAAATCTGCGATCATCTCAGCTGGAAGCAGTTAAAAGGATTTTGGCACTAGGCCAGTAAAAATTACCTACTCGGACGTTGATTAATTGATTGAAGCGAACTGTTTGTTACTCAAGAAGTTTTCCTCATTAATATTAGTATACTTATTAATTTCGTTAATGCGTATTTTAAAAACACTAAGCTTGCATGACGACCGTAAATCAGCTACATGGTGTCAGTTGCTCTTGCCTTTCGTTTTCAATAATTGAGCAGTTTTATTGTGATTTTTTTTATTCAATATTGAACCGTGATCAAAAATATGATATATTTCCCTTAAACATCTTACTATTTCCTGTAAACCTTCTGAATGAATGAATAAAACCTCCTTGTAAAATTTGAATGTGCGCTACATTCTTGATTTTGCACGACGATTGTCTTCCATTTTCAATATCGAATAATTTTATTCCTCAATATGTATGCATATTCAGAAACTTAATGCGTTATTTACTTTATACTTACATCTTATTATGCAGTTCCTGTACAGTTTCTAATGCCAAACTTTACCTGAAAGTTCCAATTTATGGTCCAGCTGTCGAAAATAAATTACATGGTTTTCATTATTGAGTTATTTTATTTTACTTTTATTACTCAATATTGCTTCTATACAAGAAAAACATAATTCGTTTTTTACTTTCACTGCATTGAACAGCTCAGGACAACTTCCTGAACAGTTTCGAATGCAAAACACTTTCACTTAAAATTCCTATTTTTGATTGACCTTTAACACATTTTATTCATATAAATAATCCATTACGCATTTTCTGGTTAGTGGGCGTTTTGCTTTTTACCAAATCACTTTTTATTTTAATTACGTACATTTTAAATTGTCCATGTTCTGCACGCTTCACCAGGACCCGACTGGTACCACTTTATCGATGAGTCATTGTTCTCAGGCGAGTTCTATATTTGCGGTGAAATTAATATGTATGCCGAGTACCTGCTAGATGCCGTGTTGTCATATACATCACATTACAATGAATATTTTTTTATCTATTAAAAAGTACATTAGAAATTGCATTCCCGTTGCATTAAATTAACAAAATAATATTAATATAAATCTATTTTGCTGTTAGAAGATTGCCAACACTCCTAGACGAAAGGGGGAACATTTTTTGTAAGCTTTTGATCTCTGGTCGTTTTTTCAATATAATCCTAATTACTTTCGGTAAAAAACTGAATTAAATTATTTGGTTTTTGTGCCAAGTTGCCTGCGAACCGATGAATGAGGCGAGTTTTCAATAGCAAATATTTTGATTTAATATTCTTAACATTTTTGGAGTTAGTCTGTTAGTTTGTTATTACATATTATATACACCCACCAGCTGTTTTAAAATAAAAAATTATCAACCCATTTTTGTAAAACATAAGGAACATACAACGGAAAACAAACACGCGTTTATGTACCTGATTGAATAAAGAGTTAGTTAACATGCCTATACATGGAAATAGTGAAAACTTTAAATTAAATTATTGGATGCTTCAAAGCTGGGGTATAAGAAAATGACGACAATCGTGGTTATTACGATTTTGTAAAATTTCAACACCGCTATTTTGAGTACCAATCTTGCGGGGCTCGTTTGGCAAAATCTATCTACCTACTAACTACGATCCGTCTTATTTATTCTTAAACATTTTGTTTGTCTGTCCGCTTGCTAAATTAATATCAACAGTTTAAATAAATTATTTTGCAAGCAGTGAGGAACAAACTAAACATTGTTTTTCATATTTCATTCAATATATTCATTTTTTATATTATTGCTACTTCCAGATTGCAACGTCGTTTAGGAAGTCCTTATCAATACCAATGTAAAGCCGCAACTATTTTTAGATTCGCATAGTCCTGCGATTGTGTTCTTAAAAATATTTGCTTGAATTTAGCAACATAAGTTCAGCATTGTTTTTATGTGTATAATTGCCAGTGAAAAATAAATATGTACATCCGTGTTTATAAGGGAGGGCAACCAAATCTGATTTAAGAGCCCGTTTATTTATAGTTTATTTTTTGTGTTCCTTTTTTTACTTCGTATACAACATATCTTATCAGAATATCTCACTCATCAATAATACGATATAATCCGCAATTTTAAACTCACCAATTTTAGCAATAAAATGGCTGGTATTATTAGTTCACTTTTCATATCAACCTCGATTGGATTACGATGAGTTCTGTTCCCATTTGTGTGTTTGTTTTAAATTAGGAAAATATATGAACATTGTTTATAAATTAACAATAATTTTTACATACTTCCATGTAGTTTCTTTATAGTCGTCTTTAAATGCCAGAGCGAAATCATTAGATTATTTTGAATTTGAATTAAGAATGCACATTCTTGTGATGTGATTCTTAAAACATTTTAGCTGCGTGCGAAATGGGAAATATGAAATTTGCATTGTGTTTCTAGTAACAGGAGGCAAGAGACAAACTCTTGTTGTAAATCGTTCTTATATTGTGCTTCCTCAGGAGCCTCCCAATTCTGTTCGAAACCCTGGGAACAAAGGGCAGAAAAGCCTGTAGAGAAGATTCCTTCCTTTCAACACGGCCCACTCCTACAGATCTTTTGATGATTGATCCCAACTGGGAATATCCGTTCTGAAGAAGTGCCTCTTTCAAGTGCTGTAGTTCTGCGGTTAGATGTTCTGGTCCACATATTTTTTCTAGCTCTATCCGTAAGAGTTCTCATGATTCCTTGCTTCGGTACCACGAGTACTATAAATCTTTGAAGCATAAGTCAACAAATAAATGAAAAACCATCTACAACTAAAAATCGAACTACCAAAAACAGTGAAGTCGCAGATGAACCCCTCGAAGACTGATGACGAATAATTTTTTCCCTATTTTTATGCTATTTGTTCGGTTTCATTTTAGTTAAATAATATTATTTAATTATGTCAATAAAGGGCGTATTGCGTTTTACAGTCGGCAATTTTATTTCCTGCAACTTTCTTGCACACAATATTTCGTTCTACGCTTGCGCATTTTATCGGTTTTCGAGTTGCCGGCTATAGTTCCAAACTTAAAATGTATTGCACTAGCCGCAATTTTAGTGACTTATAATTTATTTTATGCTGCCAACTGTTCCCTTATAGTAATATCCCTTGTTATTTTATGTTCTTTTTTGTTTATTTAGCGATGGCTTAATCCACCACCATTGCCTTTGTTTTGCACAGGATTTTTTAGGCTGTAAAATAATTAATAGAATTGCAGTAGCAATTACTATTGTTTTGCGTGTCGGATCTTCTCACTGGCATATTTGCTTATTTTCGTTTTTTATCTAAATACACTCGAACTTATGTTAATCACAATAATCAATAATTCCCTTGGCAATATGAATGTAAACTCAAACGAAAACAAAACCAACAAACAAAAGTTAGTATTTTTCACGTGTAGTGAATAGTTGGTACGCTTGATCGATTTGCCTAATTGTGAGGCAAACGTTGCACAGAATGCACAGTGTAAAGCGCAGTACTTAAATTATAGCCTCAAGAAAGTTGCGGCCAATAAAATTGCCGACTGTAAAACGCCCTTAAGATACACGTGAGTTTTTGACAACTTTATTTGAAAGCAAAAGGAGCCCCATTTTGCCCAAAAATTGTTAATGATTTTGGTTTTGCTGTAACATTTTTTAATAATTGGTTAAACACATAGAAACACAAGAAAATTAAATGGCGTCATTTTACCCAGATGTTCAATAAGCACTTTAAACACGTTTTGATAAAACTTAAACACGATTATCTTCATTTCTTACATTTATCATTTACGCTCTTTTGCTTTTAACCCCTTCAAATGTTAGCAGTTACACAAAGTTATTTAGGTAAGCTTGTTTCACATAAAACAAGAACAGATACAAAAATATACTTTAATATAAATTGGACGTTCAGAACGCAATATATTGGAATATATTACGATTCAAATTCAAAGTTTACAATTTATAAATTAACAACAGTCTATCCAATAACCAATCTTATCCCAAAAGCTAATCAATCCAAAAATGTGTAGCTTAAATGTGCATGACTGTACAAAAGAAAAATAATATTTTTGAGTTTCTGAGGGAATATTTGACTGAAGAAATATTAAATATTAAATAAGAGTTAACAAAGTTGGATCTGCGGATTTACATGAGTTAAAAATATTTAAGGAACGAATCAGTATTTTCATAAATATAATCTTTACATTTTATTTTAAATAATCTAAGTAATGATATATGTATTTCTAATATTCAAAGCTATATTATTATATAATTTGGAACCCAGATAATCTACAAATCTTTGGTTAAATTTTCTCTTACTATTAGGAAAATCTATCATTTTTTTTTAACTTCTGGTCAAATACATGGATTATTAACAATTTTGTTTGTGGTACGATACTGTTGGAAAGTTAACCAAATCCATAATCGTTGTGCTTTGATTGACTCTTTCTGCTTTTTGGGTGCATTTCGAATGTTCTTCGGACTAACCTCAATTCGTATTTGAGCATGCATATAATCTGTAGCAAATTACATTAAACTAATACGTTTCAAGTTTCTCTGACATTATTTCAAATATTTTATTTTTCTCCTAATACGCTATAGAAACGTTATAGAACTCCTATACACTATAGAAGACTGAGGTTACATGCCAGGTATTGCAGCCGTCACTGCCGACTAGCTACTTGACGTCACAACTGGTCCCAGCCAATGACGGCGTGTTACAAGAATTATTTGAATTATGCAGTTTTTAATTGTTTATATTAATTACATGGAAATCAAAAATGATTTTTTTGGTAAACTGTGGTGTTTTTAATAGTATTAAGTTACGTTTCCGAGTAATATTTTTAAAATTTAATTTTTTTATCATCGTTTACAACTTAAATTGGTTTTCGTCTCAAGTTCTTCTTATTTGTAATCCACTATTGTAAAACTAATGCAGGATTAGCCCATCCCATACTTTGATGATTTTTTTAACACTAATAATTCTAGAACTGTGGCTTTCTATTCGAGAAAATTGCCCTATAATCCCTGACAAAATTTAGCGTATTTTCACAAAATGCAAATCAAAGTGCTGGAGAAATTTTGCAATTTTGTTTTGCTTTACTTGATGTGACATTTCAGATCCCGCCAAATCGAGAATACTGATTCAGAAATCGCCCACGTTCTCACAATGCTTCGAATAAGGAAATGCGTTGCAAGAAGTCAACAAATTCGTCTTTTTTGAAAAATGTCCCTAATTTTGTGCTTCAGATTCTCTTCGCTATATGACTGTGCCATGCAAATGGTCCCATATGAGCCTTGCTTGCGTACGCTCAAATACACAATTACTGCTTTATTGCACCTCTGTTGATCTAACTGACTGTAAATAGTAAATTTAATATAAATCATTGTAAACAATATAAATTAATATCTTTGGACGAATAATGGGTGATCGTTTAAGTCCCTCCTAATTTCTAGTTTTCTTTTTTTATCTTAAAGAACACTCAGCCAAAAAAATCCTAAATGATAAGATAAGCCAAAAACACAATTTTTGAAATTCGCTTTTCCAAAAGTTATTTATGCACGAAAATAGGATTGACCAGTGCTATTTACTGCGAAATCATGTTTTAGGTACCAACAATTTATCTGTTTGAGCATCTTTTCTGACGTCGCAAATTGATTGAGGTTATCTGGAACGTGGACAGTCAGATGGCGGATTATTTGTCTCTTTCGGGAATTCAACACAATGCGGTGTTGCAACGTAATTTTTAGTTGTTTCCTTATGGTTAATTTTGAGTTAGTTGGTTTGTCAGCAGGGTTATAGTGATTTTTTTTAAGAAACTAAAAAATACTGAAAAAGTGAAAATTAATAATCTGAAAATACCTAAATAATCTAAACCGACCTAATCCCGAATGAATCTACATGCTAGGTATCCAAAGAAACAATTTTCTTGAACTTTAAACGTTTTGCGCAGTTTGGCAGCGCCGTTCGAAATTTAGCCCGAAAATGGAGAACTTTCTGAGTGTTTTTTGGCTTAATTTATGGACTATGTGTGCATTTTTTCGCTGAAACTGCTTAATTTAAAGTGTTCTTTAAGATAAAACAAGAAAAAAACCAAAAATTTTGAGGGACTCAAACGACACAATCACCCGAATTATGAACAAAGTGTAATGCATGCATGTATGTAATCTTATGATTGCAAGGATAAATAAGGATATATATACACAATATATCGGACACACAATATCGGAAATATATTTTTTTAAAGTACTTTATGATCCATTCCATATTGTGTACCTACTCTTCTAATAATTGAAAATATAATCAAAACTAAACAACATAATGCGCTCTTACAATGATCAAATCTATATGCAAACTTGCACCTACTCTCTAGCTAAACAACGTAGCCCGTGTCTATTTTTGCTTACTCCCGTGGGCGACGCACCAAAATTCCCAGCAAAATTGGCAAAAGTCTTCCATCAGTTTAAATCTCGAACTTGCCGCGATTGGAACGTTGTTCTGATCTCGGCAAAACGCCCTTTTTTCGAACGAACGACGATTTTTATCGATTACTATTGACCACAATTCGGTTCTACGCGCGAAAATTGAATCCCACCGAACTGAAAGCTTTTGTCCCACTTTTCTGCTAATTTCGAACGCTTAGTGTTTCTTTCCTGATTTTACGACTTTTTGTTCCTTCGAAAACACTATATTGGCAAAATCCTTGCATTTTTTACTACGTATTTTTGGCTTCTTTCGCGAACGGTGAAGCTTTGTGGCCACGGTATACTCGACTACTCTTTTATCACAGAGGTAGACACTTCTGTGGGTTTTATCACAGGAGACTTGTAATTGTTAAATCGCATTGTGACGCGTTGGAGTTGTTCATTGTTTTATCATCGACGCGTTGTGATACATTTACTTAATCGCACGTTGGTTTTTCGGAACTTTTCGGAAAACTTCACGTTTAGTTTTGTCCATTCGACTTTCCCACGCATCTTTGGGTTATTGCGCATTTTAAAGGTCCTTGCCGAACTACAACATGGATTATTTTAACGAGAAGGATATTACGCACTTTCTGGCTCAGGAGCTATTATATCACCAGGTAAATTTGCCAATTTCCCACGTAAACAACTAATTTTTGAATCCGTTGCAATTAAATTAGCTTTAACTAAATTCATCTCAAGGACATTGTTCTCCAGTGTAGCGAACGTTGGAGATTATTAGATTATATACATCGGAATATGTGTTAAAGAGAAATTTCTTCTGTCATCAAAACCAACTTTGTTACAGCACCAATTTGAGCAATAAACCATTTAGATGTTTGCTTAGTTAAAAACATTTTGTTTTGAATAAAACCTTTATTTTTAACAAATTATCACATTTGGTATGTGTTGCGACAAGTTTATTGCTGTTCTATAAGTGAAATAGTTGTACCTCATGATGATATGTACCTGCTTACTTGCCATGTTTTATATAGATAGAAACGAAAAAATACTAGAAACATGGCTTGGACTAATGCAAAATGCTTATTATTTACATACAAAAATTGCACACTTCAATAGAAAACGACCGATTTTGAGTAATTATTTTAATAAGGAGTAATTTTGATTTTGAGAAGTAAATTTATTTACAGCTAATACGAATAGTTACTGCACTAGACTTGCGAGGCACTTTAAACTTGAAAAGTCCTTGAATATGTCTTTTTACATGGAAAATGTATGCAAACGCCTCTCCAAAAAACTCCATATTAAATTTCATTCAGATAGTAGCATTACAATTAAACTAAGATAAAAATACTTCAAACTTTTGTCATGACTTTGCAGCCGTGTATTTCGAAAACTATCCTTACATGTGACCTTACATGTTAACAAGCGATACTTACATACATACAAATATTGCAGAACGAGCAATAAGTTCAATAGCGAGCATAAGACATCTGCAAAGACGCCAAAATAAATATTGTATGACCGAACAGGATAACTGAAAGATTCATATGTAAGCAAAAGGCTTATCAGCACCCATAACTGAACCATTCTGAATATGTATCCTTTGCCCTAAAAAGCAAACCGGACAATCTCGTTTCCTTTTTGCAACGAGTTTACTCGAAAACCATTCAAAATAACAAACTAAAACGGTAATCATGGAGAGTTATTGGAAGTTATAAATACTGTCGTGCAGTAATAAGGTTATCCTTATTTTAATACTGCAATAGCTTTATTTTTTTAACGAAATGATAGTTATTGGAATGTCGGTTCACTGCTTTCAGTATTAAGTGTTCAACCTAATCTCTGTGCCTAACCTTAATTACTTTCATTCATTTTACGTTGTTATCTGTATTATTTACCTTTTTGTTGGATTTTGGATGCTGTTTGAAGATTTCTGCGTAATTGATACCATGGAGAAAATTCTAGAAGCCTCAGTCATAGACGGAGCAAGTGGAAATGAAATTGATTAGTTTATTTAAAATATATTTATTAACAATCGGTTATGGGAACGAGGAAAGAAAATATTTTTATTTAGAACAAATGACCGACGAAGACTAGCTAGACGAAACTTTTCATCAACGGGTATCTCTTATTTTCTTCCCTAAATTGTAAAATTGTTGTTTCTTCAACAATTACCGCTTGCTTTTGTCTTTGAAATCATACTTGGTTTCCTTGCATAGGGAATGCACTTCCTGCAATGCATCGTTCCTCTCGCTTTGAGGCTCTACAATTCCCGACATCAAAGAAAAAAAATGCGATTGTAAGAGTAAACAGTTACATCTTACCTAATTTGGTCTATTTTCACTTTTTTCAACACAAGTTGTCTCAAAGATCTTATTTAAAAAAATCACTTATAATCGCCACATGTTTTTGGATTATTTTCCAAGCCTGGGAATTAATAATTGGATTAACGTCAAAAAATTCTTTTAATAAGGTGACGTCCTCGTAAGTGACTCGTGACCTGGTATTCTTATTTTCGCTCAATTTGAAAAAGTTTTCTGATTGGAAAAAGCACGTGTATTTGAAACTGAGTTATATAATGAAATAACCTGTAGGCGGACGTTAGAAGTGTCAATTGCCAGTATAAGGTACAGCGTAAGTACATAAAGTGTACAGTATCGCTGCACAAATAGCACAGACCAGTATCCTTATTAAGGAATCCCTTCATTTAAGACTCAATTGCGCAGGCGTATGTGTCAAAATACCACTAACGTTATTGCATGTCCTTATTGATCGCCCAATAACTATTAATAAATAATCAAAAATAATAGTAATAATAATAATAATAATAATAATAATAATAAGGCCGTAAAATTTAGCATATACATATTTTTTTGGTATAGAGTCAACATGTCACATAGAGTTTGGTTGGAATAGGAAACGAAGATTGCTATCTATCTATAGAAGCCACACAATAACTATAATTATACTGACATTTTGAATTTTATTAGGCTGCTAGCAAATTAGTATCTTTTATAATGCGTTCATATTTTTAAGCATTCTAGTCAGTTACTAGTCATTTACTTTTATTTTGAAGATTTACCTGCAGGTTAGAAGCTTTAATGGTTGGTCGACATGTATAATTAATGAATTGCATATTTATTATGTAGGGCTAAAGTAGTAGTTAATTGTTTAACTAAATATGGTAGGTACTTAACAAAGTTCTGTTTGTTGCTTGCTTGTTAAGTACCTATTTAAATTATAAAAGGAAAAGTTGAACTTTCATTCTAGATACTGTATTTCATATTATTGTTGGACAGCACAGGAGTAGGTAAATATTTCTTCCTTATACACTATTTGTTCTCTAACTAACTAACTCTAAGGCAGAACAAGCTTGCTTGGGCCTTACTACTCTGAATATTTATGCAAAAACATAAAATATAAATATTATGTTTTACATATATTTTTTTATACCTTTCTTCAATATGATTGAGAATTTACTATAGCTATCTTCATTCATTGAGATGGCATTATGTAAATGTTCAAACACATAATACTGTACCGTGGATGGCCGAGTATCAAACTCTTTCTTCTGCTTCCAAATTTTATTCACCTCGGTATAACTTTAAATGCGGAACAGGAACAAACTAACTTCAAAATTACCGTGAACTTCACAAACAATAACAATAACCGACGGAAAACTCGCTCTTCCGACTCACGGGGTTCAATCTCTTCTGCACCCGGTCGCTCCTATCACTTCACTCCCTCTGTCTTGTTCTCCTCGCCGCTTATATAGATTCCTTCAGGTAACCCAGATGGTCCTCGAAATCTCCAGAACAGTTCAGTAATTGGGGCTCCCATTTACTGAAATACCATGAATTTCGATCCCCCATTGCAAACGTGAGTACCCCAGGCCATTTCCGTTACACTGCCCCCCTTCTAAACCCTGATCGCCCCGATTAGGTAATTCCTGGATTATGGTTATATCTGGCCAAACGGTGAATGTGGACAACTTTAAATTTTGCCTGAGGGCTCATCTGATTGCTCATCAACAGTTCGACGCCGCCGACGTCGCGCGGCTTTTCGCTGGTGTTCACTTGGCGCACCACGTTGTCCATCCATTGCATCAGCGTCCTCACCAGGTTAAAGAACTTGAACAAATCGCCAGTATCGGCCAGTTTTCCTTTGCGCTGCTCGCAAACCATTTGCAAACTGGCCCACGCAGACACCACTTCTTGTTCTCTATTTGTAATCTCTTTAGCTCCGTCGCC